GAGAGGCAGACGAGTGAGAAGGATTGAGAACATTCTTACAATCAAGGATTGAAGCTAAAATAATTTGAGTATATTTAATCCTGAGACCTTAACCAGCCATACTGACCTACAGTACTTCCCCACGCCTAGATACCATATGTGAGAGGGTTGTCGCGGCGTCTTCTCTGTAGGGAACACTGCTGATCCCTTCTAGTTCGATGTCAGCAATAGTTTGGATTCAGTCCTCCTCTCGGCAGCTCGCTTCTCTGCTGGCTGTCAAATATGTTATATTCACCTTTCAATAAAACAAACTCTTTTCTCAAACAAATCAATTATCATACAGAAATAACAGAGCAAATGGAGAGAGACAAAAAAGCCACAATACAATATGCACTCACTCACGCACTCTAACTCTCTCACTTGCTCGCTCCCGCTCACACACACTCTTAAGTCTATTAGTCTAACAAAATGTCTCCTTTTATACAAAAATGATCAATTAATTAATAATAATGAATAATAATAAGATAATAACAGAAAAACATCATAAAACCACACAAGGGAGAAACTACCTTGTAATGAATTATATTTTCTGATACATATTGATGTGCTTATGCTGTGTAGAAAGTTTGAGCAGATTCTGACAAATACTTTTTGAGTTACATGTACGTTTAAGAGCATTTGAAAAAATGAGCCAATTAAAAAAAGCCCATGGTTTTCAAAATTGGCTCTGAATTATCCCTGTTTTTTAATTTTTTAATGCACATTGATGTCCTTATGCTATGTAGAAAGTTTGAGCTGATTCCAACAAGTTATTAGGATTTTAAAAAACAAGCCAATTTTTGAAAAAGCACCATGGTTTTTTCAAAATATGGCTTTTAAATCACCATTTTTATTACATTTTCTGATATATATTGATGTCCTTATGTTATGTTAAAAAATTGAGTTGATTCTAACTTCAATCTTTCCGAGTTACAGCCATTTTAAGAAAATGCCAAAAATTTTTTAAATTTCTGAAGGCTACAGCCTCTAATTTTAAAAAATGGCTCCTGAATCGCCACAAATTTTACTACATTTTCTGATACATATTGATGTTCTCAGAAGTTTGAGCTGATTTTGACTTTAATCTTTCAAGTTACAGCCATAGCAATAATGAGCCCTTGTTTTTGTAGAATTATATTTTAAATGAAACAATTTGTCATTGATGTACAAATAAATTTACACAGAGTTTCTCCTTCATGTATTATATAGCTGAGTCCTTGACAAAGGGGCATCTGCTTTTTGAAGAACTTTGCCACCAACAAAAACTCTCACTATTGACTCTCCGTGGAGAAAATGTACACACACAACAAACAAAAGA